ATCATTTCCAAAATAAAATGAAGATTTAAAAAAAATCAATTTTGTTAAAAATACGAATTCCTCAAAAGTTGATGGCTCAAAGAAGGTGCAATGAAGATCCAAATGATCACACCGAAGTAAAATTTTACAGATTGAAAATTTCAAATGATCATTTTCCGAAAAACGAAGTAAGTTTTGAATTTGTACTGATTATGGATTATTTCCAAAATAAAATAAGAAATTTCAAAAAATTATATCCCATATTACCGATATCCTTTCGTCTTTATTAAAAGTGAATAAAAAAAGTAAACCAATACGTTTTTTGGTTAGGCACGCCAAACTAATAAATTATATTGCTACCATTGCATCAGATTTTATCGAAATTCTAAACTTCTCAATAATGCTCACACACTGCTACAATACGACAATACAACTAAAAAGATCAGGAATACCTCTGAACTTCAAGAGAAAATCGGGGAGAGTGAGCTATTAGTGCTTTCGTCATGCTTCCAAAAGAAATAAGTGCTGTAGATTTAGTTTTATTGGCGGTTATAGAGAGCTTTTCGCTGTTGTCAAATCAAACATTCCCGACTACATTCCCTCATCTTCATCTATTTTAATGAACAGCTATCGTGTTTCTTTGTCATTACTCTATTTTTGATAACCTTATCAAAATTTCATTAATCAGTCGAATCGTGGGTTGAGTTACACTGTCTATTAGTTGACCAAGTTCTTATCAACTTATTTTAGATACAGGAGGGCTATTTATAATTTTTAAATGAACTCTTGTCTCGTACACTATGATGCGTCGTTCTGTTTACATTCTGTAAATGTAGGTCAGCGCTTAAGGAGCGGCGGGCGTCGTATATCAGAAGCGTTCCAGGTATTCGTTCTTCAGTACATAAAGTTCCATGATAAGTAAAATATGTCTTCATTAGCGACGTTTAACGATCTCAAACATTCCATGGGTGTATAATTGGGGTTTATTAAAAAAGGAGTGCTAATGACGGTATTGTTAGCGGCACACGGAGGAAATAAACATAATAAATAATGCTGAAGGGACTTTCACCATTTTATGATGTGAGGAAGCACATTCAGCATTTCTTTAAAAAACCGCAATGCAGAGAAAGAGAACTACACGGATCGGTGAGAGTTCTTTTTCTTTTGGAAAAAGATTTCACTATGATCAATATATTGGTGCAACAGGCATATCTCTTCTTCGAACTAACATGGCGAACACAACACGTGATCGGAACTCGTCGAAACGGCTGATGATGAAAAATGGTCAAACTGAGTAGGCTGAGTAGGAACAAAAAAATTCTAAGTGTGATCAAAGATCATAAACGTTTTTGGAAATGTTTTACTTCAAAATTTTGAGTTTCGTAAGGATCAAATTGACTAGGCTGGGTACTTGCCACACATTGATTCACAACTTTCGGACATACCAGGAAAAAAAATTCTAAGAAAGATCATTAACGTTTTTGGAAATGTTTTACTACACAATTTTTAGTTTCGTAAGGGTCAAATTGGGCTGGGTACTTTCCACACATTTGTTCACAACTTTCGGACATACCAGGAACAAAAAAATTCTAAGTGTGATCAAAGATCATTAACGTTTTTGGAAATGTTTTACTTCAAAATTTTGAGTTTCGTAAGGATCAAATTGACTAGGCTGGGTACTTGCCACACATTGATTCACAACTTTCGGACATACCAGGAACAAAAAAATTCTCAGTGTGATCAAAGATCATTAACGTTTTTGGAAATGTTTCACTTCAAAATATTGAGTTTCGTAAGGGTCAAATTGGGGCTGGATACCTTAGACACATTTATTCACAACTTTCGGACATACCAGGGACAAAAAAATTCTAAGTGTGATCAAAGATCATTAAACGTTTTTGGAAATGTTTTACTTCAAAATTTTGAGTTTCGTAAGGATCAAATTGACTAGGCTGGGTACTTGCCACACATTGATTCACAACTTTCGGACATACCAGGAAAAAAAATTCTAAGTGTGATCAAAGGTCATTAACGTTTTTGGAAATGTTTAACTACAAAATTTTTAGTTTCGTAAGGGTCAAATTGGGCTGGGTACTTTCCACACATTTATTCACAACTTTCGGACATACCAGGAACAAAAAAATTCTAAGCGTGATCAAAGATCATTAAACGTTTTTGGAAATGTTTTACTTCAAAATTTTGAGTTTCGTAAGGATCAAATTGACTAGGCTGGGTACTTGCCACACATTGATTCACAACTTTCGGACATACCAGGAAAAAAAATTCCAAGTGTGATCAAAGATCATTCACGTTTTTGGAAATGTTTTACTTCAAAATTTTGAGTTTCGTAAGGGTCAAATTGGGCTGGGTACTTTCCGCACATTAATTCACAACTTTCGGACATATCAGGAACAAAAAAGTTCTAAGTGTGATCAAAGATCATTCACGTTTTTAGAAATGTTTTACTTCAAAATTTTGAGTTTCGTAAGGATCAAATTGACTAGGCTGGGTACTTGCCACACATTGATTCACAACTTTCGGACATACCAGGAAAAAACATTCTAAGTGTGATCAAAGATCATTAACGTTTTTGGAAATGTTTTACTACAAAATTTTTAGTTTCGTAAGGGTCAAATTGGGCTGGGTACTTTCCACACATTTATTCACAACTTTCGGACATACCAGGAACAAAAAAATTCTAAGGGTGATCAAAGATCATTAAACGTTTTTGGAAATGTTTTACTTCAAAATTTTGAGTTTCGTAAGGATCAAATTGACTAGGCTGGGTACTTGCCACACATTGATTCACAACTTTCGGACATACCAGGAACAAAAAAATTCTAAGTGTGATCAAAGATCATATCGTTTTTGGAAAAGTTTTACTTCAAAATTTTGAGTTTCGTAAGGATCAAATTGGGGCTGGGTACTTGCAACACATTGATTCACGACTTTCGGACATACCAGGAACAAAAAAATTCTAAGTGTGATCAAAGATCATAACGTTTTTGGAAAAGTTTTACTTCAAAATTTTGAGTTTCGTAAGGATCAAATTGGGGCTGGGTACTTGCAACACATTGATTCACGACTTTCGGACATACCAGGAACAAAAAAATTCTAAGTGTGATCAAAGATCATTAACCGTTTTTGGAAATGTTTTACTTCAAAATTTTGAGTTTCGTAAGGATCAAATTGACTAGACTGGGTACTTTCCGCACATTAATTCACAACTTTCGGACATACCCGGAACAAAAAGATTCTAAGTGTGATCAAAGATCATTAACGTTTTTGGTAATGTTTTACTTCAAAATTTTGAGTGTCGTCAGGATCAAATTGGGGCTGGGTACTTGCAACACATTGATTCACGACTTTCGGACATATCAGGAACAAAAAATGTCTAAGTGTGATCAAAGATCATTAACGTTTTTGGAAATGTTTTACTTCAAAATTTTGAGTTTCGTAAGGATCAAATTGACTAGACTGGGTACTTTCCGCACATTAATTCACAACTTTCGGACATATCAGGAACAAAAAATGTCTAAGTGTGATCAAAGATCATTAACGTTTTTGGAAATGTTTTACTTCAAAATTTTGAGTTTCGTAAGGATCAAATTGACTAGACTGGGTACTTTCCGCACATTAATTCACAACTTTCGGACATATCAGGAACAAAAAAATTCTATGTGTGATCAAAGATCATTAACGTTTTTGGAAATGTTTTACTTCAAAATTTTGAGTTTCGTAAGGATCAAATTGGGGCTGGGTACTTGCAACACATTGATTCACGACTTTCGGACATATCAGGAACAAAAAAATTCTAAGCGTGATCAGAGATCAAATTTTTCGAAAATGTTTTACTTCAAAATTTTGAGTTTCGCATCATTTTTAGGCCGAGTCCCAGATGAAAAACAAAAAAAGAATGAAAACGATGTGGAATTTTGCATTTAATGTCCATAGATCTGTTGCCGCTGTTATGCATTGATATGATTTACAAATTATTAAAATAAATACATATTTAAAAAATTGAAGTCTCGTTAAAAATACTATTTATTCAAAATTTGGTGACTCGAAGAAATGTATAATAAAGTTCCAAATGACCACACAAAAGTGAAATTTTACAGTTTGAAAATTTTAAACTGTCATTTTCCAAAAAACGAAATAAATTCTTAATTTGTACTGATTGTGGATTATTTCCAAAATGAAATGAGAAATTTCAAAAAATAATATCTCATGAAACTCATTTTTTTCGTAATTTTTTGAAAGTAAACACAATACGTTTATATAAACATTCTACGTCTGATCAGAGATCAAATTGTTCGAAAATATTTTACTTCAAATTTTTGAGTTTCGTGTCATTTTTTGGCTGAGCCCAAGATGAAAAACCCAAAAAAAACAAAATGGAGACGACGTGGAATTTTGGATTTAATGTCCATAGTTCTGTTGCCGCTGGTATGATTGATATAATTTCCAAACTAAAATAAATATTTAAAAAATTACAATCTCATTAAAAATACTGTTCATTCAAAGTTTGATGACTCGAATAAATGTATAATAAAAATCCAAATGACCACATAGAGGTAAAATTTCAAAGTTATCAGATTAACATTTTCCAAAAAACGAAATTAATTCGTTATTTGTACTGATTATGGATTATTTCCAAAATAAAATAAGAAATTTCAAAAAATTATCTCATGAAACTCATAATGTTTTTCGTCTTTATTAAAAATGAACTAACCAATACGTTTATATAAATATTCTAAGCGACATCAGAGATCAACTTTTTCGAACATTTGGAGTTTCGTGTCATTTTTTCAAACAGCTTAACCGAAATCGAAGATTAATTTATTGTCATCACAATGGTTTTTTCGCTCATGTTGACGAATTATACTCGTAGAGAACAACAGTAGGTACCAAAACTACAGCAAATAAAGGAAGCCTCAAAAATTATCTATGGTAGATATTGTCATCTCAACGTCCAATCTCTAGTGTAGCCGTCGCGCAGTAAAAATATGCTTTCTTTGCAGACATCACGTGGGAGATAACCTCGTCACCGACCTCCTCATCTACCACGATGGTGGGGTTCTACAGCGAGGCATCCCTGCAGACTTTGCAGGCTCGTTCACCCGAACAGCACGCCGCTTCGTCAGTGAAGAAACTGGTGTGCAGTCCCGATTTTCCTTTGGACGAAACCGCCAGAGAAGGTGTGCAACATCCTGCAGAGCAAGCCGAAGCTATACAATGCCAGGTGAGGATAGTAACCGGTTTCTGGTTTCACAGATCAAGCACAAAGTGCCACCTGCTGCTATATGCGGCCCATGAGACAGTGGAAACCGTATTTACCACGGTTGCCGAGTTACTGAAAGCCGTATCATCAGTCGCCCCTGCAATTGGACGGCTTTTTGCAGAGGGGAACCAACCCACTAAATATGAAAAATCTAGATTTCAGGAAAATAAACTGTTGTAAAAAAGATCCATACACATATTTAAAGCCTTTAGTATGCCATTAATTAAAATCGTGTTTGGTTTGAAATGGATTTGTTATCATTGTCAAAACTTTAACATAACTGTTTTTCTGGGTTGGTTCCTTTCTGCAAAAAGCCGTCCAATTGTAGCACGCCTTTATGGCCTCCTTGATTTTCTTAGTCCATTTTCTCCTTAAGAAAGCCTGTGGTATTTCTAGAGTTCTACTGTTCCATGTCAGCGTCGGCGATCTTCTATTGTGAGGTTATGTTTTCTTTTGGAGTCGTAGGAAGTGTCATGCTGATAAAACAGATGATAAAAATCAAAAGCATGAACAATTTGATGCAAATAGGTATTTGTAACGTAACCTCAAAGTAGAGCGCTGACACGGAACAGTAGAAATTTAGAAATGAATGACAGGAAAAACTATGAAAATCAAAGGAGGCCATAAAGGCGTCCTTGAAATGACTGACGATACAGCAACGCAACTACGGGTTGTTGCCGATGTTTAGTGATGCCTTATTAGGGCCAAAATCAGATATTCGAAACGAAAGATGAGAAGAGAAAGTTATAAGCACTACCTACGACATTATTACAGTCAAATTTAAAACGAAGCAGAAAAATGCAGTCATAAAAAATGTAGACGAACGTGATATAACAAGAGCCTTCAAAAAAGTAAAAACACAGAATTACTAACGTGATTGTTCATCAGTAACGTTGGAAATTGCCTTAAAATGATTTATCAGCAAACTGCAAAAAATCAAAATGTATACTAAGTGACATATAAATCCGAACACTCAGTTTAAATGGTTTTATTTTAATAAAATTTTGTATAAGTACTTAATGAAGCATAATAAGTAAATGATAAAAATTTCAAAATGATTGCACTGCTTTAAAGCCCTTTGACCTTTAATAATGTGTGGATGCACCCTGATGTGCTACGCATTCTCCAACGCGCCTAGGCATGCTTCTGATCAGGTGGTCAATGTCCTCCTGTGGTATCTCATTCCAACTCCTCTCGAAGTGCTTCTAGAGTCTGAGGAGGACGTTGCAAATTGAGCAATCTCCTACCCATCACATCCCACACGTGCTCAATTGGGGATAAGTCGGGAGATCTTGGTGGCCATGGTAACAATGTGACATCATTATGTTGAAAGAAGTCTATTGTGACTCTTGCAACATGTGGTCGGGCATTATCTTGTTCTAAAGTTGGATCTGCCAGGGTGTCAAGATAGGGTAAAAGATGGGGTTCTAGAACTTCGTGGATATAACGCTGCGCGTTCATGTTACCTCTGATGAAGATTAAAGGTGACCTGGGACCATAAGCTATAGCACCCCAAACCATAACTCCAACAGTGTGATGAACATGTCTTTCAACAAAAAACTGTGGATTCCTCCTGTCACCTCGTCGCCTGCTAACCCTGGCACGACCATCGTGCATGCCTAAACAAAATCGAGACTCGTCACTAAAGACAATACTGTTCCATTCCTGATCCCAGAGTGACCGTTGTCTGCACCACTCAAGGCGATTACGTCGGTGTTCTCGAGTTAAAGGGAGGAGACCCAGTGTGGCCGGTATGAAAACAAGCCAAAACTTCTCGTTCGTCGGTAAACACTTCGCATGCCAATAGGTCTTCCGTGTTCTGCAAACCATTCATTGGCAATGGACCTGGTAGTGGAGAAACGGTCCCTTAAGGCCAATAATCTTAGGCGGCGATCTTCACGGTCTGTTGTTCTACGGCGGCGTCCAGTGCCCCTTGCTCTTTGCGTACGGCCTTCTCGAAGCCATTCCTGACAACACCTAACCACAGTGTCTACACTTCTTTGCACTCTAACTGCAATTGCCCGAAAATAAAGTCCAGCTTCCCGAAGTCCCACTATACGGCCCCTATCAAGCTCACTAAGTTGACGAAATCGTACAGGTCTCCGTACTCTAGGCATCGTAACCGATCGTAAAGGATGTCAAGAACCAAAATCCGCCAACGTTGATTCATTCTTTACTGCGGCTGAAATATCCATTTTTAGAGCGTTAGTGAATTGAAAAAAAGCAGTATAAAAACCGGAATGTCCAACTGATAAGGCTGAAAATTGTTTCACTTGTTATTTACAGTAAGATAAAAACATTCACCAACTTCTATTAAAATAAAAAATTTAAACTGGGTGTTCGGAGTTATATGTCACTTAGTATATTTAGACCATTTGCAGATCAATAACATCAATGTAAATAATCAATATTTTTCAACTGTATCAATCAGTAATTCATTAGACACAGATGATGACTGAACAATCTTCATATCAAGTATTTTAGATGAGCTACGAGAAAGCTTGGCAAAATTAAAGTTACGGACAACGATAAAGACTTATTATATATATAAATAGAGAACAGATTGCATAAGAAAAAAACAAAACTCACTAAAACCTATTACAATTGCTTTCAGTCTTTCAGTCTCTTTTGATCCCAGCTGACAAAAATGAAACCCGTTCCATTTTCAGTGGTACAAGGTGGTGCCAATCGACTTGCTGTAAAAAATAGATCTTTTCACGTGATAAATATTCCATTGTTAAGGCTTTGAAAACTCCATATAGACTTGTTATCGAGTTGCATTTGATATATTTCGTTTATTCTCAGATATGTGCTAAGGTTTATACATCGAAAGCGGCCTTTACTATTCATGCCAAAACACACGCTAAGGACGCCGATGATCCTTACAAGTGCGACATTTGCTCGAAGACTTTTGCAGTTCCTGCTAGACTGACCAGACATTATAGGACGCATACCGGAGAGAAACCCTTCAGGTAAGATTTTATATGGTTATTTGTAACACTTTTGTTACAAAAGCTAAAGATTTTTTCGGCTGGGAAAGTGATGGCGACTGTTTTTAGGATAGTCATTTTAATCGATTATGTTTAACAAGGAACAACCATTACAGGACCATACTACGCATCATTACTAGACAAGCTGAGGACAGAGCTTTCGGAAAATCCACGAATCACGGTTTCAACTGCTTGACCATCCGCCTCACTCACCAGATTTAGCCCCAAGCGACTTTTTTTATTCCCGCATCTAAAAATTGCGCTCGGAGGATAGAGATTTTCGTCAAATCACCTTCGTGAACACCTATTTTGCAGAGAAAAACGCCTACTACTGTTTGGACGGGTTACGGAGATGGGGGCATCGATGGGAGAAGTGTGAAGACTTTCAAGGAGGCTATGTTCAAAAATAAAACAAATCTGGAAAAATGTCGTGTATCTTTGTTAGGTCGGAAACTCTCCTCGTATAAGGAGTTTTCAAGAAAAAAAATATTAGGAGCGCTACAGAGAGCACACGCATATAACCCTACAGCATCAAAATTACGCAAGGTATGATTTGTCTCATCAAATGTGTCAGATTCCGAGAGAAAACTATGACATCTCGACAGTGTCCCCATGTTAAAGGACTAGTGGTGCTATTCCTGCCAGAAAGACGTGTAAATATAGTGTAATCATATTAGACAACAAAGAATGATAAAACGTGTTTTTTGGGATTCAATCTAAAGTTTTGGCAGGAACGAAAAAACGCTTTATACAAGATTTTTATATATTAGGAGATCTACAGAATGAGACCACAAGTAAAAAGATCCTTTGTTTTAAAATGTGTTTTTCGAATATCGTAGCGCATTTGTTCAATTACTCACAAATACGAAATGTTTGAATTTGTTTAGAAGAAAAAAACATTACCTTTGTTTTTCGCATAAAAATAACATCCATCTTTCGGAATGGGTGAATTCATTCACATATTACTTTTATCATCAATCACGCAGTATCAACATCCTGTTTCCCTGATGCTTGGAAGCAAGCTATCGTCATACCTGTTCCTAAAGTAGCGATTCCCACGTCTGTAACGCAACTTAGACCAGTCAGCTTACTTCCCGCATTTTCGAAGCTTTTGGAACGGGAAATGAAGATACAAATATCTCAGTATATTTTCAGTAATGAAATAGTTCCATCAATGCAGTCTGGATTCAGGGAAAACCATAGTACAACAACTGCTCTAGCCAATGTCACTGATGATGTTATAAGAGGCCTTGATCAAGGAAATATCACTTGTTTAGTTCTGCTGGATTACACAAAAGCTTTCGATATGATAGGACCTGAAATTCTGCTACTTAAGCTGTCTTACTATGGTTTTACTGACGCTGCAGTCAATTTGATAAGCTGCTATTTGTCAAATGTAAATCAAAAGGTCCTAACAGCTTCGAAAATGTCACAGTCAACTGCTGTAAAGTTTGGTGTTCCTCAAGGTTCCATATTGGGACCTTTACTTTTCTCTATATATACATATATCGGATTTTCATCAATATGTTAAAATCTATGATTGCCGGCTTCCTATAATGAATGAGTGTAAAAACCTGGGACTCTGGATTGACACAGAACTAAAACACAAAAAACACGTAAATTCGTTAAGTAGTGTTGTATCATACTGCATTTTGAGGCAGTTTTCTCCACATATGCAAATAATATCCACTTCAGTAAAGCTGAAACTGGGTGAAAAATTAATTATATCAAAGATTAGTTATTGTGGCAGTATACAGGGTGTCCGCAAAGTTGGGGTTTTCCTTTACACGACGTGTAGATCTTGAAAACATAAGCAATTTTTCTTAGTACCATATACACCAATATCTTAAGGGAACCGAGATAAAGGGCTCTGCAACATCAAAAATATCTGAATACCATCCTGTAGCCGCGACTCGCGACATCCCCAACTGGTACAAGGACACTAGCTCAACCCGACGACAGAACTGGGTCGGGGTCAGAGTGTCAGGTCAGTATGCAACCTTCAACAGACGGTTACGGTCACGCGTGTAGAGGTAAACGAACCCGTATAATCGATTGCGTTTCAAAAAACAACAAGCACTAGAGACGTGGCTAGAGAAGTGCAAGTATCAAAAACTAAAGTGTGGCAAACGCTGCGTGAAGAGGGGCTGTATCCGTTTCACGTCCAACGTGTACAAGCCCTTCAACCTGACGATTTTCCAGCAAGAGTGCGGTTTTGTGAGTGGTTGTTGCATCAACATGACAATAATCCGGACTTTTTGAAGTGCATATTGGTGACAGATGAATCTACGTTCACGCGTAATGGGGTGAATAACTTTCGCAACACTCATGTTTGGTCAGTAGAAAATCCGCACGCTGTCCGTCGGGCACATTTTCAACAAACATTTTGGGTGAATCTTTGGGCTGGCATGGTGAACGGTATGCTCATTGGACCATTTATTCTCCCAAATCAATTGGACGGGATGCAATACCTAGACTTTTTACGCAACATTTTGCCTTCCTTGTTAGAAGATGTGCCATTAAGTGTAAGACAATCAGTGTGGTTCCTGCACGATGGTCATATTTGTTACCTCTGTTCGTGGTCTACTGGTCTGCACCACCGCCGGCGTCTGCTCGGTAGCGCATCAGCTGATTTCATTTTCTGTTGGAGCGGTATGATTTCGGGCAGAGACGTACTTAGCCCTTCTCGTCAACTGGAGAGTGAGTACTTTTTTCTTTATTTTTTTTTACTTGGTCGCCCTCGTTTCACTACACGTTACCTTTGTTATTTCAAGGGTAGTTGTTTCTGAAAAGGAAAACCCCAACTTTGCGGATCATATAGTGAACAAAGCAAATTACAGCGTATTCAGAATTCGTGCGTCAGATTTTCTTGCGGAATACGAAAGATTGATCATACTTCTTATAAATTTAGGGAACTTGGTATTCTGCAGATTAAAGGCACGCAAAAACTTCACTTATTGACACTCACACATAAGATCTTAGCTACCAAACAACCACAATATTTGCATAACAAGTTAACACGATGTAGTGACATAAATCAACTGAATACAACGAATAGGAATATGTTAGTGATACCCTTACATTCTAAGGGTCTCTACAAAAAGTCATTTAGTTACAAAGCTATTAAACTATACTAAGTGACATATAAATCCGAACACCCAGTTTAAATGGTTTTATTTTAATAAAAGTTGGTTAATGTATTTATCTTACTGTAAATAACAAGTGAAAAAGTTTTCAGCCTTATCAGTTGGACATTCCGGTTTTATACTGCTTTTTTTAATTCACTAACGCTCTAAAAATGAATATTTCAGCCGCAGTAAAGAATCAACGTTGGCGGATTTTGGTTCTTCACATCCTTTACGATCGGTTACGATGCCTAGAGTACGGAGACCTGTACGATTTCAACTTAGTGAGTTTGATAGGGGCCGTATAGTGGGACTTCGGGAAGCTGGACTTTCTTTTCGGGCAATTGCAGTTAGAGTGCAAAGAAGTGTAGACACTGTGGTTAGGTGTTGTCAGGCATGGCTTCGAGAAGGCCGTACGCAAAGAGCAAGGGGCACTGGACGCCGCCGTAGAACAACAGACCGTGAAGATCGCCGCCTAAGATTATTGGCCTTAAGGGACCGTTTCTCCACTACCAGGTCCACTGCAAATGAATGGTTTGCAGAACACGGAAGACCTATTGGCATGCGAAGTGTTTACCGACGAATGAGAAGTTTTGGCTTGTTTTCATACCGGCCACACTGGGTCCTCCCTTTAACTCGAGAACACCGACGTAATCGCCTTGAGTGGTGCACACAACGGTCACTCTGGGATCAGGAATGGAACAGTATTGTCTTTAGTGACGAGTCTCGATTTTGTTTAGGCATACACGATGGTCGTTCCAGGGTTAGAAGGCGACGTGGTGAAAGGAGGAATCCACAGTTTTTTGTTGAAAGACATGTTCATCACACTGTTGGAGTTATGGTTTGGGGTGCTATAGCTTATGGTTCCAGGTCACCTTTAATCTTCATCAGAGGTAACATGAACGCGCAGCGTTATATCCACGAAGTTCTAGAACCCCATCTTTACCCGATCTTGACACCCTGGCAGATCCAACTTTCCAACAAGATAATGCCCGACCACATGTTGCAAGAGTCACAATAGACTTCTTTCAACATAATGATGTCACATTGTTACCATGGCCACCAAGATCTCCCGACTTATCCCCAATTGAGCACGTGTGGGATATGATGGGTAGGAGATTGCTCAATTTGCAACGTCCTCCTCAGACTCTAGAAGCACTTCGAGAGGAGTTGGTGGTTGCCTGGAATGAGATACCACAGGAAGACATTGACCACCTGATCAGAAGCATGCCTAGGCGCGTTGGAGAATGCGTAGCACATCAGGGTGCATCCACACATTATTAAAGATCAAAGGGCTTTAAAGCAGTGCAATCATTTTGAAATTTTTATCATTTACTTATTATGCTTCATTAAGTACTTATACAAAATTTTATTAAAATAAAACCATTTAAACTGGGTGTTCGGATTTATATGTCACTTAGTATAGTTGGACCGTGAATCGTGTTGTCCTAAGTAGACAAAGGGAACCGAGGATGACCGCTTTCTGCATTCTTCCAGCTAAGACGCTTGCCGACGATGCTGGGCATACCGGTATGGATTTAATTGTGGTTATTATGTATGTATCGCACAAAGAGACTAAACCTAAACAGTGATCGGTACGTGATTATTGCGCGATCAGTACACTGATATATTTCAAGAGAGAGGCAGCATAACTGTTATTGGGCAGAATATGTCGAGCCCTTACACAAAACCAATGACGAATCAGAGGGTGGAGTGGGAGACGATATGACCGGGCATACCGGCTGTCCCGCTGGCTGGCCGTACAATACAGAGTTGGCATCAGATTTATACTGGTATTACTGTGTGCTTATTAGATTTGTCGGTTTAATTTCGTAGAACTCAAAATGTCTGATACGGATACAGCTGATGAAGTTGTTGATATAAGCTGCACACCGCCTAAAAAAAGAGCTAAAAGACTTCATTTTAGCGTTAGAGAAAAACAAATAATTATCGACATTTATAAATACGAAATGCAAAGAAGGAGTGACTCAAGTGTTCAGGACATTGTTTGCAAAGGTGACACCTACATATTGTTCAATACTTGTAAGACGAGGAATTTCAACTAAAATTATATTTTATTTTTGTTTTTGTATATGCTTAAACTATATCGAGATAAGAAATTTGTTGGGTTTTTAATGATTTCAAGCGGTTTTAAAGTGTCCAAAATGAATTATTTTTAGGAAAAGGTATGCGATGGATAATTTGCCACATTGGTAATGAAGATAGATTTGTGGCCGATGCTTTATGGGCATTTGAATCCAAGGAAACGGGAGACTACCATGAAGAAATGGATGGAGCCTCGTTGGAAAATTGGTTCTCAAATACTCTACCGAAGCTTGAAGATAATTCGGTTATAGTATTAGATAATGCTTCATTCCACACGATAAAATTCCAACAACGTCAACAAAAAAATCGGAAATT